ATTCTAAGTAATTGAGGATGCATAATATACATGAAGAAACTGGTATAAAGTTAATTGGATCACATGCAGTAACGCCCCGACATTTCTTAGCACTTCATCTTTTTTGTATCATTTTAATTGATTGCTATGCTTTATTTACGAGCATACGTCCTAGATACATGCAAATATTAGCTTCTGTTTAAATTCTTTAGGTAATTACATGATGTAACATTGCGTTCAAGAAGTCAACTTTATTGAGTAACTGATTTGTTTAAGAAGGAAGTCACAGATTTTATAAAATTGTTCCAATGTCGAATTCTTTAGCCATTGTTAAGTCTCATATTAGCTAACAACTGAGTCATTGCCATAAATTTATTTGCATTTCATGGCACTGACATTTAATTAAAATATTATAATAAACAAACAATATAAAATCGATCGCAAGAGCGTAATTAAATCAAAAATTAAGTTGGAAGTGAGAAATGAATAAATAATCTTTACTTATTAAAATTGCTAGCTAATTAAAATGCATACTTTATAAATTGAAAGATTTTTTAGAAAGTAAGAGTATGTGAACTTATTAAATTTTGAATTGAATTTAAATTTTAAGACAACAAAAATAAATAAAATTGCAGGTTTGAATCATGTAAAAATATGCGGAACTATGAGATGATTAAGTTCAATGGTATTGCATTTACATGCAAGAAAAAATTTAAAGTTCAAAATTTATTAAAATTTTTGATTCGCAATCTCAACTTATTCATGTACTTAAAAGTAAAATAAATCTTTTATCATGAACATGATGACGAGAAAGTTCAAAAACATATTTTCAAATAGCTTAAATCCTTTTTCATTTCTGATTCAGCAAAATATTCAATTCATAATAAAAACCAGAACATAACTAGTTTTTCAGTAATATTTTAATCTCCTGCAGCTACAAATCTACATGATCTATTTCAAAATTGGAAAATTCATCGCAAATGTACTCAACATGAATATATTGAAATATGACAGACAAAAATCATAAAACGAATTGGAAGTACAGTTCAAAGAACAAAAAAGAATAATTGAGCTTTGAAAAATCTACTCGCATTTTTCGTAGTTTTTTTGCCCGAGTGCTCTAAATCTTTTAGAAGCATACAAAATTACTCTGTTTCATCTGATTATATCCAATTCATCTTTTATCGTTCTTTTTCTATTGACATAATTTTTTTTCTCTTTTTTAATTCAAAAAAGAGATCATCTGTGAGCTTATTGAAACCTATCTATGAATTATTTCTTCAATTAAAATTTCATAAAACTGAATAACTGAATTGTTAAGTAAAATTACTGGTGCCGTTTATTTATCGACACACCGAAAAAAAGTTTCTTTTCATTTTATTTTTAATTCAGAGAAGAAAAGTGCCTATTGTGATATCGATTTACAGACATTGTCTTTTATTATTCCTTCAAATAATTTTAGTCTTCTAATTGATAATCAAACTACTGTTAGTGACGTTAAATCCCGTATATGTATGCAAGAAGAATCTTCAATTGCAACATCGAATGTTTACTGATAAGAACACTTGATTTGATTCATGCATGTGATATTGTTTTAATCGCCGAAATAATCCAAAAAAAATACCAGCAATACTTTTTATCTAAAAAAGAAAATTTTCTAGCTACTTATTAAAGCCATAGTTACCAACTCACTTAATTAACTTTTCACCTGCCAGATGTGTACAGTAACTAAATAATTAAGAGTGAAATGTATCGATCTATTGACAATGATTAGAAAAATATTTAGCAAGTATCATCACCAGTGGCTTACTGTGTAATCACTTTAGCAGCGTGACTATAGAAAGTGTATTCGTAGCTCATTAAACAATTATGAAACCGAGTCTAACAACACGAAATATAAAAGATCTCACTTTGGCAAAGAAAAGTGAAAAATAATGATAAAAAAATTGAAAAAGAAGAAAAGAGAGGAAAGATCCATTTTAAACCATACATCGCGAAAGTTTCATTTTGAAATGTTCATAATTGAACATTATAAGCCATAATGGTTAAATGAAATATTGAAGATTACCGGAGAAAATTTTAAGACATGTGATGTTTAAGCGCTTTTACTAATCTTTTTTGGACATATTAATATTAATAAAGTGATAAGATAATTATGATAGATTTTTTGACTTACAATGAATCAGAAATTTTCCAAATTTTGCTTAAATTTTATAATCATTAAATATATAAAGTTCGATTCACATTAGTTTTATCTTAAATAATTTTTAAATTCACAATATTGTTGTGATTGTAATTTAGACAAGGAAATTCAGATGTAAATAAATAGCTCCAAGCCATAAAATTGTTTAAAGCATTTCTTGTCAAAGAATCAACAGGTAGCTACCACCTGTAAATTTATTTATGAAAAATTTAATTTCAATTTGGCATTTTGGAGTCAAGGAAACAAATTCGATAATTCTTTGATACGTAATATAATGGTCACAAGGTAAATATTTTTAAATGGAATCATGAAGAAAATTGTTCCTGATATTTTAAATTGAAGTCCTCAAGGAGTATCAGTCTACTCAAGACAACAAATAAGTAAAGATGACTTTTAAGAAGTATCACTGAATTGAAGTTGTTCTCACAACTTGAATTCAATTTGAATATAACCCAAGATATTGAATTGTTTTTCAATGTGAATTTCAGGACCATACATAAAACACATTAATTAATGCTACTTTTTCGTACAAATTATCGATTTTTTTTTGATAAATAATTAATTGCGAAATAATTTTGAATAATCAATTTTCTAATATTTCAAAAAAATTAAAGTATTACGTTAACTGTCGAACAGTATCTTCTCATTTTTAAAAACCGCTAGAAATTGAGTTGAGTTTTATTATTAATACACAAAAATCCTAAACATTTCATGAGAAGATGAGCTAGAAAACTCATATGTGGTATTCATTTCAAGACAAAAATAATATGTATCATGAATTCATTCGCTGCGATAATGTGAACCGTTTAATTTTAATATGCAACATATAATTGGTATAATATGCATTCATCATTCACCACATGATGAATAAAACAGAATCATAAGGAGAAAAAAATTGGCCAGCAACGGTTAATAAAAGAATATAAAAAATTAGCGCCACAAAACTTACAGATTCAAAAGATGATCTAAAATTTTTTTGTATCAATCCAATTGAAAAAAAAATTGAAACAGCAGCAAAAAATTTTATTTTAAATTGAGAAGAAATGCTATTGATTGTGCATGTATTGTACTGAAAAAATTTTATAGCACAAGCTGAGATACATAACACAAAATTGAAATGGATAACTGTTCCCTACTCAGCATCACAATTTTTTTTTTGTTTCTTTCGTTCACTATTTTTTTTAAGTTTTGATTTCTTGTATTTTTCGTGAGCACTCAAACTGTAATATTAAAGAATTTCAATCGCTATCCCGCGGGATAATCCAACATAAATGAAATTCCTAAAGTTTTTTTTTCTTGTCGTAATTAACACCTTGAAATTAATGTAATTGCTTCTTAACTCTTTTTTCAATTTTATCTGTTAGCACCTTTCTTGTTATGTGACACCTGGATCACATTACATTGCATTAATTAATCACTAATGGAATTTCCTTCTTCTTTTTTTTCTATTTAAATATTCCACACTTTAATGCTCGATAATTTTATAATCCGTAATTCTTCTCAAGAAATTCAAATCGAAACAAATTCAATTAACTTAAGACCGACCGTAAGTCGATTCACGTCTGAATCGCATAGTTATTAAAGGTAAACTAACTTGTAGCGGCAAAGAGGAATGAGGAAAATAAGAAATAAAAACAAAAATCGCGTGAATTAAAAAAGCATTCTCAAATTTTTACTCTCTTTACAACCACGTGAGTGAGTGCAGCTTAAAGTAAGTCATGTTTTGTAGCTTTATTCATCTCGCTGATTTTGACTATAGAGAGAAGAAAATGTTAGAGATAAAAAGCTTTCGTGAGCTTTTTGTGCTTCAATTTAAGATTCTCAAATACGTTACAGAAATTTAAAATTGAATCGCAGTGGCTCCAGCTGAAAGGCTGGGCTCTTTACACATTATTATTTAAATTACATTAATTTAACATATAAAATTTATAATTTTTATAAAAAAAATAATGCATGCATTTATGCAAATAAGGTCATTTAATTTTGATGAAACATCATTTTTGATTTTTGAAAGAGAGTAGGCAAGCAAATAGCTGTTTACCAATCTAGTCGATTTGAGATTTAAATACACAAAAACATTTTAAAAAAGGAAGAAATAAATATATTATTACAATTTTAAATAAAAACTCAATCTCGAACTTAACAAATTGTTATTAATTACGACTGATTACAAAACTTACTCCTGTAGTTTATCAACATATGAAATATTCCATATCATTATTTTTAAATTAGTGACAACACCTTCATTGTTAATTAGATTCTTACAATAAGGCAGATTCCCAATAAATCATTCAAATGACTTAAAACACTCTATTAAAAGAATGGAATAAAGGAGTTAATTTAAATGCACTGTATTTATTCTTAAAACGTCTCGATCCGTTATAAGGAATAATAAATTATTATCGTTTGTGCTGTTCATATGAAAATGAACTGTTTTTATGCTCATGTTAATGAAAGCATTTGTTTATAATCATGTAATATTTTGTAGTAAGAACAGTGCATTTAGATACTGAACATAAGATAAAAAAGAGAAAATTTATCTACACATTTACTACACAAATGGAGTAATATCAATGATTTGTTAGATTTTGTAGGTGTACGGAGATTTATAAATTTTTATTTTAACTAACCTTAGTAATAAACGCAAGTTCTTTATTTTGAATGTATAATTCAAATTAAATGTCTAACTCTTAAAAAAAATTAAATAACAAAACCATAAACGTTTAGTATTAATTTTTTAACATTTATCAAAAAAGAAAATTATCTAATCAGCAACCTACATGACCCACCATTACACGGTAATTTGCATTGGACTCACCTTTCACATATTGAATAGTTTCCATTAACTCTGCAGTCTTCATCATCACAATAGCCGCAGCTACAATATGAACATTCTGATCCATATGTACATGACTTATTATAGATATCTTCATGGTGTCCTGTTTTTTGATTTTCAATCATTTTTGATTTGTTGATATCATCGCTAAAATAAGATAATTTTTAAAATTTAGAAATATGGAGATACATGTGGCTACTTTTCTTATGTCATTAGAATTTTCTGCTTTTAAAAAAATAATTACTACATACGGAAATTTCTATAGTCTCATAAAATTCTCGAAAAAGTAGCACAAGAACTAAATTTCTCTTTAAAGAAAACAAGAATTTCATTTTATTTTATTGGAACAACAAAAAAATATGGGTCATGGACGGTAAAGTTTCCTTCTAGTAGTTTTATTTTCATCTCAGCCAATTAAACTTCAAACGTGTTTGCAAAAGATGGGATATCGTACACACTTGCCGCAAGACAAGAACAGAAGCAAATGCACATCAAGAAATGCAATTAAAATGAGTGAAAAGTAAGCAAAGAGAATTCCGTAAAGAACAAAACGCACACTTGTGTTCTACAATTACAGGTTTAAAGAAGACAAGATGAAAGTGAAAATTATGTCAGTAAGAATGAAACTAAGAATAAAAATTAAATGAACTCGTTTTTGGCTTTATTTTTTTTTTTTTAAACTAAGGCAAAATTAGCAAAAAACTATTCATATGAGTTAAACCATTTAAAAAACCCTACATTCCAAAAATTGGATGCACAATTTAAACGTTACTTGAAACACTTTGTTTTCAATTTAAAATTGTTGGAAGAACAAAAGACAATGCAAATTAAAGATTTCTTCAATTTGTTTTCAACCTTGCAATTATTCCGAAACTTCCTTTTATATCTATACCATATGAACGCATTGCTTAATGTTTTCGTTTTCATCTCTTTATTTTCTTGATCGTTTACATAATGAGCAGTGCGTAAAAATGGTCTTACTGCAAAAGTTCAACAAACCCATGTATATCATACATACCGCTTCCCTTTTCCATCAGACACAATATTCCATGTACGATGAATAAGGTACATCAGAAACAACATGCGTGAATTTTCTTGGCTGTTGTTATTATGGCCATTACTACTATCATCATTACGTCGATCAATCGTATTGGTTTTCGGTAAAATTAGTTTCTTTTCTTGACGAGGAAATGTTTGTCGATCATAAAGTGTTGGTATTTCACTATGTGGAGTCGATGCACTATTTCCCATTCTTAATTATATTATTATATCACTGTCAGCATGTGAGATTCTTTATTTATTAACAAAACTTTTATTATAACTGTCCGAAAAAATCGTTCAGTGACAGTAGTTTCCTTATTTCTTAAGATTTTTTTTTTGATGTGGCACAATGATAATCGACTCAAAAGAATCTTAATTGAGTTATAATTTTTTATGCACTTGTAACTATTTCTTTTGCATAACAATTAAATGAATCACATGTTAGTAACCGCTTTGTTTTGTTTATTTTATGTTCATTATGCATGGCCGATAGTTATTTCTATTTTTATTTCACTGAGAAATCATATTACATAAAAAACGGCTTAAAGACCTAGAAATAGCTGTATCCATATCTAATCCATCTAATCTTTAAATGAAAAGTTGCAGATATGCCACGTAAGTGATTAATCTGTGAATAAAGCAAATTTAATTTAATTATTTGGTAATAAATTGAAATTTAAATTCAATTTAATTTGAAGTTGTACGATGTGTGTGAATAAAAATTTTGAAAAGGAAATTGTAGTTTCAATTTATTAATTAATTACTAAAGGAATTTGCTATCTATTTCAGAAAACAGAGTATTTTTCGAAACAATTACTTGTGAACTGCATCTCAAATTTAATAAGCCTCATTACACAATATAACATTAATCATAGATAACTAATGCAAAGTGTTAATATAATTTACGCATAAAGCGTTATAAATTGTCATAATTTGTTATGATTATGTGTTAAGTCTGTCGGCATTTAAAAATAATCTTAGCAAAAGGCTGTGAGAATTGAAGGTCTCACTAGTTCATTAAACAAACAAAACATTTTCATTTTCAGTTTTTCTTTTCACTCTGCATACAGTACAGCATATATAATAAAGAATAAAAGATTTAAATGCTCTCAGAAAATCGAAAGCATTTCTGTTGTTTTCTTCAAGATTAAGATAATGAAGTGAAGTGAGAATTGTGGGAATCGGCAATGAAATGGTTCTTCTTATTATTCCAATTTTCTTCCTGAAAATACTTCTTTTTATGCTGTATGCTTAATTGTTATTCATTTAATATCTTTAATTCTCTTTGAATTTCACGCTTGGATTTATTCTTTCATTTTCAATTCATATTCCATCAATATTTGTATTATATGATTGAGTGAATGGATCTTTTTACATTTGAAAAGCACATGTGCTGATTAATTAGGTCAATTGAATCTAATATAACTGCAATTTTAAGTAATTTACTTTAGAGAAAAATTGATGAACAGATGAATAGAATTTTTTTTGTAATTTATTAAATTTTTGCTATGTGTATTTTTTTTACACTATTCCAATAAACTACTGGTCTTAATTTGTTTCTAATGATACAAAGAATCAACTAAGAACAGTTTATATTTATTAAACAATCACTCATGAACATATGAAATATTCTAGAATCTAAATCAAAATTAGAAGATATTAACAATATCATAAAACATAATAAAGCTTTAAAAATGTTCCATTAACATTATAATACTTTTACAAAATCTTAAAAGCTAATATTTGGATCATAATAATTTGGAATAGAATCACGAAAGTGGATTATCCTCGATTTCGGATTATCCACTTCAGTTTTTTGTAAATATCTTAAACTTTATGAGAGGTGTGGTATTTCTAAATTTGGATTATAATAGAGTGAACTATGTCTGAAATTTCTGTATACTTTAAACTTTTACTTTTTGTTAAGAAGTATTAATTATTCAATTATCTAGCCAAATCTAATTTTTTGTCTTTTTTCATTTTAATTGCACTTTATTGCATGAAGATATAAAAATTCTAAGTATATGTTAATTTAAGTAGCAAAGTACTCAAACTATATCACACATTAGATCTCTTAATAACCTTAAGCGTCTGGAGATATTTCCAAAAAACTGAAGTGGATAATCTGAAATCTAGGATAATTCAATTTAGTAAAACAGGCCTAATAATTTGAAATTGAGATAAAATGACAAACAAAGTGAAAATAAAAAATTACTCAATTATAGCAGCAATGAAGTAATATTTGAATTAATAAATCTCTTTGCTTCTTCAAATGGAATCCATTTAAAATTTAAAATTTTCAATTTTGCAAATTGAAATTAGCTTCAAATTTAATGTATGTCAAACATAAAATCATTTCATGTTTGGATTGTGTTTAGATGAAAATGAGACCATCTTTAACGGATGAAATTACTTCATTTTAATCACTAAATATTATCACTTAAATTAACTTATGACATTTAAAAGTTTTGCTTGCACTATTCTTAGAATACGGAGACGTTTATATGCTTGACAAAAATAGAAATTATTTGATAGAAACATATCTATGTGTCTCTTTTAATATTTATTGCTGATTTAATTTTACAGAGAAAATTTCAAGATTTACTATCTCAAGTTCAATGTTATTAAAATTATATAGAAACTTAAAATTACCACATACTGAAAAATATGTTTTTAAAAAATTATGTCTTTGGCTAAAACACGACACTTTGTAATGCAATAGTGAAAAGAGACCGTAATTTTATGTAATTAAAATTGAAGTAAATAATTGGAAAAATGAGATAAATAAGCTGGTTTTGTATATAAAGTCTGCTTTAGTTTACTTCCTCTTACTTTCACTTTGCTGCATTGAAAAGGATGAAAAATTTTTGCACTCTTTATCGACGTTCGCATATGGTCCGAAAATTAACTATAGCTAAAAGAGTAAAAAGACTCAATTTAAGTTTTGTTCATGTAATGAGTCACACGAAGTAAGAAAGTTTAAAAAAATTACGAAATCACGGCAAAGATATTTCTTTTTATTAAAACAAATATCCAAAAATATTAATTAAATTTATTTCTTGTAATTTTTAAAAATTTGGCAAATAGTTATTGTAGTCTCAGAAACGAATTTCTTATTCCATTATTCCTCCATTAAAATAACAAATGAAATTTGAAAGTGTAACTAAGTCTTAACATATTGACAACAATAAGAGGAGGCAAAATGGATTATTGAGAACGTTCTCATTTAATTTTCTGTAATGTGTTACACATTTGACTCAGGCGGCTGCAACCATTACCCAATGTTCTACATTATTGGACATTATTAGTTTAAAAATAGCACATTGAAGTTTCAACCGGTAAAAACTTGTTTCTTTTTTGCACGAGAGCATTCATCACATAATGGTTATGTTCATTTAGTAGATTTTCCACTATGAGCATGTGATTGTTGCTATATTATCATGTGCGACAAGGTCACGATCAATCCGATCACAATTTCTATTGTTCCCAATTCTTTTCTAATTGGCATACGTATGTTTTTTTAAAAAGACAATGGCGTTAAAATAGAACAAAAGATTAGTTAAATAATGGCTATAGATTTTAAACTTGATTATGTTTGATTTGAACATGCTAATCTGAAAATAAGAGTATATAAAAATAACGAAAGATAACATCCAGAAATACTTTAAGCTTCTAAAATTAAAAAGGTATTACGACCAACAGAATAATTTTTTTAAATATATATCAAGGCTTTAATATACTGTTTTTAAAAAAATTGTAATAAGCTGTGACCAAGAATTAATTTGAATTCCAATGATTTTATTCATGTCTTCATTTTTTACCAAATCGATTGGTTGCATTAAATTTTTGACACTGAATCCATACTAAATTTTCAGAGCAACCGTTTCAAGCCGAACTGAAGTTTGTCATGAAATTTACTGTTAAGATTTTTGTCTTATACAGCATGTTCCTTACCATCTTATTAAGCCTCCGTTATTTAATTTCTCGAATTGTTTAATAAATTTCGTAATTTTTAATTCTTCATCATATTTGTTAATTTTTACAGCATAATTGATTCAATCGCAACAGTTTCAATAAAAGTTTTTAAATAAGAATATCTCCATTTTATATTGATATTTTTTAAACCAAAGATTCAATCAGAAAAAGTCAGGAATATCAAAATTAAGGCATTAAAAACAAACAATTTTTAAATAAAAGTTACAAGCACAAGTAGCGTAATGCATTGGTAATTATGATTGAAATAGAACATCAAATGAAAGTAAGCAATATATTTATATTAAAATTGAGGTTAAAAGTAGCTTGTTCTTCATAAAATTTTCATTTTTACCATTAGTAAATTGATGGTACGGGCTTCCTTCTTAAAATATTTGTATTATTGTCAATTTGTCTAGAAATCTATTCACTATTTAAATAATAATTATTAATAAGTTTCAATAACACACAATTCAAGATAACGTTTGATTAAAACTTGATGTTTAATTTGTCATAGAAACTTAATCAATATGTTTAATATTTATTAAGTGCAACAAAAATTCTCCACATGTATTTTTACATGTGTTGCAAACACAAATAGTGTTAAACAAAGCAATTAAAAGAAAATTGTTATAATCTCATTGAAAGAGAATAGGTAAAACAAAACTAAGTCTATCATTAAATATGAAGCATAAAGCCACAATTCAGAAGAAACCATAATTTCCATCATTTAATTCAATTTGAGGAGAAAGAAAGTACATCACATCGTACAACTTCTTGTTTCTGTATTTTCTTAAAACATTTAGTGTTCTTTTCATTCAAACTATCTTAATTACATTTGATAATTGCCTTAATCTGCATTACTACTAATGTGGACTATGGATTTAAGTTTTCTCTTAAAATATTTTAATTGTTTCTTGATTCAAACTTTATTTCACTCCTAGAAATTCATTCCAGATTGTTCATTTAAAATTTTCACAAAAATCATAAATAAATTTTAACACATTTTTAATCACTTGATTATCTCACAGAAAATTCATTTCCTCAACATAATCCACTATTTCAGTTTATCCAATTTTGTCTCCGACTTCTTATTTTAATAGACCGATAACACGACACTTTAGTTGAATACAAATACATTCCACTTCATGCGAGTGCAGAAATGGAAATGAAAATTAGCTTTCAGTATTCGAATTGCAAAGTCGAAAAGAGAAAAATGTATATGCAGCAAGGCTGATTGTGAGTGTATCATAAAAGAGTATCTATTCAGTTTAGTGAGATAAATCTTCTTCTTGATGACTTTACATTGGTTTATGTTC